GCATCTTCCTATAGATATATTTAGATCAATCCCCTTGTCTTCACAAAATCGCAAAACCAAAGTACTCTGATTCCAATTAGCGCAGGTGATACATATTAATATTTAAGCAGATACATTTGCAATAATAAAAATGGTGATGCATACCTGATGCTAGAAATAGATACGTACCACAACCTACCTACTTATCAGCACCTTGGCAAGGTAAAATTAACCTGTGTTCACACGAAAATCACAAAAATTAAATATAAATCTTACATATGGGTAAAAAAAAGTTCATTAGTAAGAGTTTGTTGGTTCCTTCAAATAAAGAAAAGATTTTCAAAGATGGAGAGAAAGGGGGTGTCTTTTGTAGCAAAAAGAAGTAGAACGAAAATCAAGAGATGTGTGTTTTACGGAAGCTGATTTTGGGAGGAAGAGCAAATAGTGGGTAGTTGAATACTTAGGGTTTTGATGGTGGAACATGGTAAGATCATGAGAAAAAAACAGACATGGATGGAATTACATAAGAGGTTGCATCTGAAATTACTTAAGCGGCTTCAAGTTGCCTAAAAATGTCATCATTTATATTAAAAATGTTGAAAATATAATATGATTACAACAATATAAAAGAGCACAATATCAACATTGGGCCAGTTTTAAAGGCTTCAAGTTGTCATCTGATAGGTAGGACACAATTAAAAACATCTTTAGGTCTTGGCTTCTTCTTTTGCTCATCAGGGGGCATAAGATTTTGCAACCTGCAAAAGAAGCATAGATATAAATTATTCCACTTCTTAGTTCCTTTAACCGACATTTCACAACAATTCACATAAACAACCATTCATGCACACACACTCACATAGTCACATAGTCTCATTCTCATACATGAACATACACAAAATCACATACATACAATCACATAAACACCGATAGGTAATGAGGTGTCCCACTTCTAGAGCTATTTTTGTCCAACAAATTACAATATATGTTAATTATATTTATACCTTCAATGTAATCTGAACTCTAGAACACTACCAACAAATAGTCATCACATTTTTCATATGCTTTTATTTGTATCAATCAAGATAAACTTCAGCTAACCGTGAACATGCATACACACCCTGCAATACCATTTAAACAACCATCGTTAAAAAGTTATAGAGCTGGGAAAACTAAAACCTTAAAGGTTGTCAATGGATTAGTCAAAGGTTGCAGATCTTGATTGTCGGAATCATAGTTAGATCTCACCGGACCCCTAAAAATCTTTTGTATCGACTTCATTGAAGTACTAAAAAAACAAAACCTTGTTCTTAAAGCCTTCAGAAGCATTTTCTTGCTCCTGGTTCATTCTACTTTTCTCTGGTTAAAAGTAGTAAACAAAAAACAGCAAAATGAGGAAAAATATATGAGTTACAGATCGCCGCTCGTTGGTGAGGAGCAGAAGATATGAGTTGTAAGATAAAAGACTTTGAGGAAAAATGTACCTTTAATCAAAACTTATTGCGTACCTTGAGCTCGATTGAGAAAAAATCCGAATTTACAAAAACCACTTGTCACCATCATCTTCAGCCACAGTCCAGTAGCACTTTAAGATGCAATTTGTGGATGGCATATTAACCATAGAGCGAGGGGAGGATTCAAATTTCAAAAAATGCTTTTCAATTTAGGAAGTAATTGGTTTATAGTAATCCCCGATTCTTCTTGCTTAACTTCAATGCCAATGTAATAAGTTAATCTTCCAAGGTCCGACATCTCAAAGTTCTTGGACATCTCTAATTTGAACCTCTTGATCATGCTCAAATTTGTACCTGTGACAAATAAGTCATCAACATAAATTGCTAAAATTAGCAAGTTAGATCCTTTACATTTCCAGTACACCGATGGTTCTTTCATGCACTTTTGAAATTTCATATTATTCAAAATCCCATCAAGCTTCGTGTTCCATGCTCGAGGTGCTTGTCTTAGACCATATAGTGCTTTTGTAAGGCGATATACTTTATGCTCGTTGCCCTTCTTTATATAGCCTTCCGGTTGTGACACATAAACAGTTTCTTTTAATTCTCCATGTAAGAATGTTGTTTTTACATCTAAGTGGTGAAGCTCCCACCCATGAGTAGCTGCTAAGGCTATAAGAAACCGAATGGTTTCAATTCGAGCTACCGGGGCAAACACTTCCTGAAAATCAATACCGGGTTGTTGCACGTAAACTTTAGCAATCAACCTTGCCTTGTATTTATTAATGGTGTCATCTGCATTTTTCTTTAATTTGAACACCCACTTGAGTCCAATTGGCTTCACCCCCATAGGTTTGTTCACAAGAGTCCAAGTATTATTTTTGTTTCCGCATCCTTGGCCTTGACCCATTCTGGTTCTTTCTTCGCTTCTTCAACCGATATCGGCTCGTCATTGGTTGTTAGAAGGAGTTCTTCGAGATTGTCAAGATCAAGCTCATAATCTTGAAATCGTCTTGGAGGTACTCTTGCTCTCGAAGGTCTTTGGTTTGCAGCTCCTTGTTGAACATTATTATTTACCAGACTTGGTTGTTGATTATCTTGTACTTCCCCTTCATCTCCAATCTCATGATCCGATTGAATTGGATCATTATTTACATCGTTTCCTTGGTTGGTGCTCGCATCGTCTCTTGGATAGTCCCATGGTATTACGAATGAGCCCGATTCTTCATTGTTGGTTCCTGCTTCTTTAATCCAATCCCACCCTTTGGTTTCATCAAAAATAACATCTCGACTCACGATTATTTTTTGTGTTACCGGGTTAAATAACAGGTAAGCTTTCGTACCCAGTTCGGATCCAACATATACTAGTGGTCTTGATCTTGCATCCAACTTCTTTTGATTAACCGATTCAACTTTTGCATGTGCTAGACACCCAAATATACGAACATTTTCTAAATTCGGTTTTCTTTTATACAACTTTTCGTATGGAGTTGTATCACCAAGGACTCTTGTGTAAACTCGATTGATTAGATTTGTTGAGTGATTTACCGCTTCTCCCCATAAGTAGTTTGGAACATGCATTGCCTTCATTATACTTCATGTCATGTCCATAAGAGTTCGGTTTCTTCGTTCCACAATTTTGTTTTGTTGTGGAGAGTATGGGGTGGTGAGATGGTGTTTGACTCCGTTTTGTTCACAAAAAGAATTAAACTCGAGAGAGGTAAACTCACCTCCTCGATCACTTCTAAACACTTTCAAAGGCTTTCGAATTTCATTTTCCACCAAAGCTTTGAATTTTTTGAAGTGTGTAAACGCCTCACTCTTTTCTTTTATGAGATAAATCCACATAAATCGTGAAAAATCATCAATTAGTGTAAAAATGTACCTATTTTGACCCTTGGTTGCCGGCGTGATCGGACCGCATATATCACCGTGAACAAGCTCCAATGGTTTTTTTGCTTTGTATGTCGTCATGGTTGGGAAGGACTTTCTCGTTTGCTTGCCGACTAAGCACGATTCACATAATTGATTCTCATGATCTAATTTCGGTAACCCTTTGACTAAACCCTTTTTGGACATCTTTTTCATTGACTCGAAATTGATGTGCCCAAGTCTTGCATGCCATAGCCACGCATCTTCACTTAGTCTTGAATGAAAGCAAATAGGAACTCCAATCTGTAATTTTATTTTATAAAGGCGGTTTGAAGTTCTTTGTACTTTCATTAATAAGCAATTATCGGCATCGTGCATGGTTAAATAGTTGTCTTTCATTCAAATATCACACCCGGCTTCAGTTGCTTGTCCGAGACTTATAATGTTGTTCTTGAGATCCGGTATGTAGTAAATCTCCGTCATCAGCCTTTGTTGACCTTTCTTCCCTTGGAAAAGTATAGCACCTTTTTCCTTGATTTTTACACACGAATTATCTCCAAATTTAACCCTCCCAGTTATGCTTTCGTCAAGCTCGGAGAAAAATGACCGGTTCCCCGTCATGTGATTGCTCGCCCTATTATCCAAATACCACACATCATTTTCTTCTGAGTCGTATCGAGACGGTATCACCTTCTCTTCATTCAAAAATACGGTCTCGTGTAAAAATACGGCATCGTTGGTAACGTCATATTCAACAAAATTACTTTCTTGTAATTGTTTGATTCGGTCCGGACATTGAGACGCGAAGTGGCCCGGTTTATCGCACCGGTAACAAATAATTTTGGATCGGTCCTTTTTTGGTTTACTATTTGGATCAGAATTGGAATTGGGCTTACTATTGGATCGACTATTATTTGATTTTCTTTGGGCCTTTTTTGCTTTAGACCCAGATCCACTTGACATATTAGACCCACAGGATCCGGATCCAGATCCACTCGACCCGTGTATATTGTTCCCAGTCGTACCAGTTCCTTGATTAATTGCTTTCCCCTTTCTTCTCCAGCTTTGATTCCCACCGTCGACAAACAGCGCCTTAGATCCTTCATTGCTATCATCCGCCTCCTTCACCCTCTCCTCGTATGCTTTCAATCGTCCGACGATGTCCTCGAATCCGACTGTCTTCAAATCGAGAACTTGCTCAAGTGATGCAACAATATGAAGAAACTTCCTCGGTGTGGATTTTAGTAGCTTCTTCACCATCTTTGATTCTTCAATGGTTTCACCCAGTGACGCCGATTGAGAGGCGATTTCCGATAATTTCCCGGCGAAGGATTCGATTGATTCTTTCTCTGCCATTATTAATCTGTCAAAGTCGGAATTTAGGGTTTGAAGTCTGGCTTCTTTCACCCGGTCGGCTCCAACGTGCCTTGCTTTGATTGAGTTCCAGAGGGCTTTTGCTGAATCGACATCTCCCAACTGCATAATCAAGGATTCCGGTATCGCTTGGTACAACAATCCAATTGCCAAGTAATTTTTTTCTTCATTCTGTGACATCCCCAAAATCACGGCCAGAAAAGACCGATTTTGTTTATGCTTTATAAAAATCAGAGTACTTCATTTTATAAAAAGGTTGCGGAATTTGTTCACAGAAAAAACATGGTAAATACGTTATTAAAACATTTTCGAAGAAACGTATTTATTTCATTTTAAAATGTTTGGGATGTCATCGTTAATACCGAAACATAAGCATAAACAGAACATACAATGATTTACACTAGTGATCTACATCTCTTTTAAATCTCTCAGTGTAATGTCACTTCACTTCGTCACCTGTGATATACATAAACTGAGTGGGTCAGGTTGGGAAACCTGGTGAGTACATAGGGTTTTCAACCCACAATAATATAATTACTATGTTCAATCAAACAATCAACCCAATTATCCATCCCCATTATCTTCTTTACTCTTTAAGGATTTAACCTAAGAGTCATCTATCCTGCATTCGTTTATTCCGAAGTCCCTTACCTCCAGGGTTATAGGACTGACACTAAATCCATAGCTGCCAATGTTCGTTCATAAAGCACTATTTCCATAGCTGCTATAGTCTATTCATCGGGTACTAAATCCATAGCTACCAGTGTTTATCTAATAGGCACTAAGTCCATAGCTACCAATTCCTTAACAGGTACTAAATCCATAGCTACCGGTGTTTGTCCAATAGGCACTAAGACCATAGCTGCCGATGTTTATTAGCTAGGCACTAAGTCTATAGCTGCCAATGTTTACTCACATCATCTTTTATCTCTCATCATTCATCTACCTGTATCATACCCAACATATTCGTGTATATAAAATACGTATACAGTTTAAATCATCTAAAACATGTATAAAAACGTTCATCCAACATAGACAACAAGTATACAGATAATATGCACACATAGCACGTAGTTTATATAAAATACTTCATATCTATGTGTAAGATGAAAGTAACTATGCACTCACCTGAGAAGGTGGTGACTCGGTACTCGGACAGCGCTTCGTTTACTTTAAAATAATTTCCTTTGACGAAACCTAGTATTATCACCACTAGATTTTAGTCTAATATTACCGTGACTAATTATTAGTCTTATTATTATTATTATTATTATATAAGCGTTTAAACAATACTTTCCAACTACTATGTACAGACAGGGCCAGACATAAAACACCGGAGGGCAGGACCATTTTGGCGTATAGCACTTCTGAAATCCAACAACCCTATGCGGCCCTTTAAACCAGATTCCCCGTACCGCGAGTAGTTAAAAGATATTATAACGACACTTATATAAGTCATAATAATAGCTCAAATATTTATTATAAATTTATAATAACAATACTAATTTTAAATATAAACTATATTTAAAATAGGGTAAGCATAACTTACTTTCAAGGGGATTTTAGCTAGGAGTCGGGCTCTGCAGGGGCAGAACTTCGTCGCTGAATCTTTCTAAGAAAGATTCGTGCAGCGCTTCAGCGCTCACCTTACTATACTAAAACTACAGAAAGAGAAGTCGAATCACGAGGGACCGAAATGCTCGGGGATAAGGAGAGAAAGACTCTTGAATCAAGAGAATGGTGCAAGAAATATGAGAGCCCAAGGCTCTTATTTATACTAATTGAATTTTCAAAAACTACCCTCCATAATTACTTAATGACCTTTTAGTTATATAAACAACTAAACACCCCTCTATAATACTATTTTAAATGGATTTAATGATATTTGTACTAAACTAATGTCGAAAGAACTCAACATTAGTCTTATAATGACCGCATCGTCGATACCTTTCTAATGATATATACATATGTATATATATGTGTACGTATACATGATTTATACTTTATTTTAATACGTAAATATGCTATTATAATTTGTAACTCGTTCATACGAACTCCGTTTTTGACGTTCTTTATATCCACGCGTAGGTGGAGACGTACTCTACAACTTTCGTTTAGACTCCGTCGGCTAATTTTGACTTTATTTTTAAAGTTATATTTTTAACAGGCCGGGACAGGATTGGTCCGTTAAAATCTCATAACTTCTTTATCCGATGTCCATTTTCGTCTGTCTTTTTATCGTTATGCTACTAATAACGAGATCTTCGATTCTTGTTTAGGTTGTGTCGGCTAAAAATCAATCGATCTAAAATTCGAATTTCGGGCTGTACACCGCTAATCCGAAACTTCGAAAAATCATAACATCTTCATACGAAGTCAGATTTGGGCGTTCTTTTTATCGATGTTCTTAGTTTAACATATTCTACGACTTTCGTTTAGAGCGCTAAGGCTAAATCTCTCTCTATCATAAATTTACTATTTACGCTTCCCGGCGCCGTGCCGGTTCCGACGCGAAACTTCGACGGGTCATAACTTCTTCGTTATAACTCGGATTTCGGCGTTCTTTATATGTACGGAAACCTTGTGACATATTCTACAACTTGGTTAAGATTATTTATTCTAAATAATCTTTTTGTCAAAAAGTCGTTTTCGACCCCTATTGCCTTTAAATTGACTAGCCCGGATCTGCGGGCGTTACAATTATCTCCCCCTTAGGATGATTACGTCCCGGAATCATCAACGAAAAAAGGGCTCGTATAATGACTCCATACGTCATCTCTTCATCCTAGGTAATAATTATAACTTCTATATTCCTTCAAGTCTATCTCTTAGACTCATTGACTGTAAGCAATACTCGATCGTGCACCTGCTTTCTACCTCAGGCTAGACTTCAAATTATGACCTATCATCATGTGATGCACGTTTAGACTTAGGTCTCTTAGAGTTAAATTCTAAAATAGACTATGCCTTCCTTCATGTTCTAATGTGATATAAACACACTTTAATATATAGCGTTTCTGGCTACCAACTTCTTTAACAACGAACGCGATACTTCTATTGATCGCTTTGATTTCAATTGTTTGGTTTAAGTCGGACGCTACATTGAACTTGGTTCCCTGAACCACGCAACATACTCATCGTAGTCGGACTCAATTTGGTATGACCACTAGGATCGGAAATCAACAATCTTTTTAGTCATTATTGAAACGATGGTAATGACATACTTGAAAAAAAACGAAATCAATTACTAGCTTATTGGTAACCTTGTGACTTTCCCCGATCCAAGTGTGAGTCCTGTGCTTCCGGTAGTATAGGCCTCTACTACCATTCACACCTACTCATACTCGTCCCAAGTATTGTCTCGCAGTTTCCCAAGTCACCATGCAACAATTCATACAATTATTCAACACATCAGATAACAAAATGAAGGTTTTATATCATTTCTTGAAACGATTACATAGGTGTTCAAGTTCACCCTAGACTATGCCTCTACTAGGCTACATCATACGAAACTATGACTACTGCATAATTCGATCCTCGGGTAAGAAGTCCTCATTCTTGATTCCTCGCACAGTTCTCTGCTTCGTCGAGGATCATGTGAAATGCCCTTGGCCTTGGTGGCGTTTCTGGTCTTGCTGCTTTATTTTTCCTTGGGCAGTCTCTGGACATGTGCCCCTTGCCTCCACATCCGTAGCATACTTTGTCATTATGCGTGCAGTCCTTGGAATAGTGACCAGTCCTCCCACACTTGTAACAAGTCACTTCTTCGTTGCACTTTCCACCATGCTTCTTCTTGCATCTATCACACCATCTTGCTTCACCTCCATTTGCTCCTCCAAGCTTTGATAATTTGCTTTCCTTGTTCGGCCTCGAAGATCCTTTAAACTTCCGCTTCTCTCCTACCTTATCTTTTTCTAGACCATTTTCTCTTATCTGGGCCTCTACGTTCTTAGCTGCCCTAACAGCTGCTTTCAAGGTAGTTGTCATTTTGACCATTGGGCCAAAGTCAATGGGCAGCCCGTTAGCAAACCTATCAATCTTGGAGAGTTCAGTAGGCACCAAGTAGGGGAATAGCTTCATCCTCTCAGTGAATGCGGTGGCATACTCGTCAACACTCATCTTTCCTTTCTTCAGGTTCTGAAACTCGTTGTTTAGGTCTATCAGATCTATCTCCGAGCAGTATTGCATTTTCAACTGTTCCAAAAACTCTTCCCACGACATCCTTAAGGCTTCTCCTCGTGGCATCGTATCTGCCAATAGCTTCCACGAGCTCAAGACTCCAGTTTTCAGCTGTCTTACTGCGAAGACAGTCTTATGTTTCTCGTTACAGCTGCAGCTCTCAAACACCATCTCCATCTCAGAGATCCAATCCATAATCTCAACCGGCTTCGGGCTTCCTGAGAGACTTGGTGGTTTCGCACCCAAGAAATTCTTGTACATCCGCCCATCCTTGTTGTTTCTCCCTTCTGGGCCATCCCTTTGCTCACCTTGAGTCCCTACTTGACTCACTTGGCGGCTGTAGTTCCCTTCCTCAGATTGCTCGGGAACTGGCTCCGTCGGTTCAACATGTACGGTAGGTTCGTCCCTGTTCAACATTTGTCTCATTTCTTCCCTTTGTTCAGCTAACATAGCCCGAATCATGGCTTGAACTCCAGCCATGGTGACTGGCTCAGGCGCAACTTCTTCAACAACAGGTATTTGCTGAACCACTGGGGGTTGGTTTCGGTTCCCATTCGCATTTACGTTTCCGCTACGGGTTCTTGCCATCTTGATCTCTACACCGAATAAGGTGAATCTAGATCTTAATTTAGGATTGATGTCTTAAATCATCCTTATCACCCCGAAACGTTTATATGCTAGTTCTAATATCGTAGTTAAACGCTTAG